TATTCGTTGAATAACGGCTTGCTATATTATAGCACCGATTCAACGGATACACCACGAACTGTGGTTCCTCATGAAAAGGATTTGAAATATCGCATTCTCGATGAGGCTCACGACACACCACTCAAAGGTCATCTCGGTCGTGAGAAAACATACAACTCCGTGAGTCACCACTATTGGTGGCCCAAGCTGTACAAATGGACGACCGCCTATGTGCGCACGTGTGAGACGTGTCAACGGGTGAGACCCTCTCCAAATGCGGCTGCAACGCTGACCAGCTTACCAGTACCCACTGGGTGCTGGCAGTCCGTGAGTTTGGACTTTGTGTTTGGCCTGCCGAGATTCGGCGGGTAAATTTTGGTCGACTATCTGTAAGGTGCTAGGCACCAAGTTGAATATGTCGACAGCGGATCATCCGCAGACCGATTATAAAACCGAAAGGGTGAATCGCGTCATCGAAAACGTTCTTCGCAGCGTCTGCGCTGAGACGCCAAGGCGCTAAAGCTCCATGTTGCCAATCGTAGAATTTGCACTGAACACTGAAGTGCATTCGTCTACCGGCTACATGCCGTTCTACGTGAATGGGCTGGTTTACCCTCGCGTCCCGCTGATGCTGTCATCCCATGTCTCAGGGCTTGGTGGGGGAGGAATAGCCAAACGGCTAGCTGATGTCAGCCCCCTCATCATCCACAAAGAAGTCGACGACTTCTTGTCTACCAGACTGAGTGTCCTATGACACGTTCGTGATGCGATGGCTGAAAGCCAAGACCTGCAGAAAGAATATGCAGCTGAAAAAGATAGAGGCAAAGTGGAAAAATTTAAGGTCGGAGACTTGGTTTTATTAAGCTCTAAAAACTTTCCTACACATGCAGTCTCTGCTATCTTTCGGACGAAGCTTCGTCCACGGTTTATTGGACCGTTTAAGGTTGCGGCCAAGCGGGCGTATACGCTGAACCTTCCCAAACGGATTCGCACCTACCCGATTTTACGTGGGTTTGATCAAGCCTTATAGTGATCCGGCGCATGTGAACGCGGAGGCGTTGGCGCCAGAGCAGATCCCACGAGCTCTCGGCCACCTAGAAACTGAACCAGCAACTGGTTCTGAGCACGGAGTGCAACAACCTTCATCTCCATTGGAGTTAAGCGCCCCACCGTTGCCTGCAGCGATGCATTCGCCTGATCCACGGCTAGGAGTCGCTCCAACAGAGCGTGGTAGTCCTCAAGGCGAGGCAGCCGGCGCACGACGTGCTTCAAATCATCAAAAGCGTCCAATAGCGATATGCTACTTCAGCATGGCACTCAGCAGAGATCCGATCACGAAGGATCGCATTCTCAAGGGCTCGAAGAGCATCGCGAGTCACCGGACGGGGGTCGACCCGGTCGTCACCGCCCGCCACCGACTCTTCTCGATGAGAACGGCGACGTCCACCATCACGTGGAACGTCGAGTGAGACGACGTTATCACCTGGGTCAGACCCAATATCTGGTGAAGTGGTGGGGCGATCGCGACTCCGAAAACTCGTGGGAGGTTAAGACGCCACTTCGGCAAGAAGTTGCCCAGACACCGTGGGCGCTTTTGATCAGAAAGAACAGGACGCCCCGCGCTTCCCGGCAATAGCCAGGGAAGTAGAAGAGCCATGAGCTGAGCTCAAGCGGTGGCCCTGAGCTCTTGCGGTCGCAGACACAGAGCTCGCGGACGTTAGTGGTTGACCCATATGTCGCAGGGCGACAATCTGAAGGAAGCGTGCTTTGAGTTTGGCAAACTCAAATTAGGGGTGGCGCTCCACACGCACGTCCAGTCCTTGTGGCTCAACTGGAAGGCATACAGCAAGGAAGTTTTAGGTACCGTTGCGCCCATCGCTTAAAGAGCACTTTGTTATCTGTAGCGCTATTCGCCAGGAGCATTACAGGTATCGTCCGCATTGCGGGTACACGAGTGCCACCTCATTGAGCACGCAGACGAGTGTGATAAGCTTCCAACGAAAATTCTTGTGAAACCAAGAAACGAGCTCGAAGAGTTTTCCGTTCGGCAAGCCCAGCTTTCATAATGGCCGGGAGTGCGATGATGTGGACGCGTAACGATCGAGTTACCGCGTCCTTCACTTCCAAAGCGGGATCCGCCGGGCGGAAGCCATAATCCACACGAGGCTCAATGACTATCCGTGGATGGGCGCGCATCAGAGTCGCCTTACGGGCAGCTTCCAGCTGCCGCCTCTATGCCTTGTCGAGGTCATTGGTGAATACACCACATCCCTCCGGTGATGAGAGGTCAGGAGACGGACATGGGGTCCGCAAGGCGTAAGCTTGTCTCACGCCGTTGGCGCGGCTCGCCTACCTCGTCATTCCACCCGGGAAAAAGAGTGTCAGGCTCGTAGTCGACCGCTTCCACATTCACAACGAGGTCACTCGTCACTGATAGCGTGAGCAGAGGGCGACGCTCGGGCTCATCGAGCCTAGGATTTACATCCCTCGATGCCGCGGACACACGGTCCGACATGGCACCGCGTACGGAAGACGAAGTTGGGCTCTGCCCGTGAGCGCTGTCGGAATCAGAGAGACTTGGAGACTTCGGTGTCATTGACACAGGGCTCATTGAGCACGGAAATCGTTTCGTTCCAACGCAGCGTCTAACGGACACGCAAGCCTCGTTGAAGCAATAATCGATTGGAACTGTCAATGTTCTCAATCTTAATGGTTGAGAGTGTAACGGGGTTACACATACCCTGGTAACAGGGGTGTGTGTCACACGAGATGAGCATGGTGTGACTGCATCCAAAAAAGAATACGGTGCGGGGCTGGATAGCCAGTAATTATACATGTATTTAGATTTTCTATACATATTTAGGAAAATCTATGCATTTAAAATTAGGCGGCTTTGCCGGAGATAAAAATAAATAAAGTCAGTTTTGAATATAAAGCTACAGCAGCTCCACTGCATCTTTGCTTAGAGGAAGCCCAGCTAAGGTCACTGACCTTACGTTCTTTCCAAGAACCAGTGCGAGTGTAGCGGATCGCAATCCGCTACCTCCAAGTACTAGATACCTTATGAAGGCAAACGAACGCTTTTGTTTAAAATCGTTGGGGCAGAGCCGCCAGTATTCAAAACCCTAGGAGTTCCCTATCAATTTAATAATACCTAATTAAAATAGCAAAACCTAATTAGCATAGTAATATTCATTCCTATTGGCAATCCTGCCATATGGTGGCTTCTTGTTACGGTGTAGCCACACCACTGTGTGATCACACTAACTTTTGTAATACAGACCTATGTACGGTCGCATCATCTTGTGCGACCCTCCCCTTCATACAAGGGTATGCCAAACCCCGCTACATCCTGCACTTTTAGCAGTCATTGCTCGGTATGAACTGATGGATGTGTTCAACATGGATGAAATTGGTATGAATGTTTGCAATGTACTTTACATGGGATTTCTTTAATTGATGACTTCGAAGGATTTCTTCTTTCCATGGTTCCAGAAAAGACCATTGCACAACAGCAGATTGAGGAACGTCGACAAGACAAAGTAAGTTTGTCTGTATATACTCTTGGTCATCTAAATGAAAAGGTTGACTAAACTATCATTGTACCTTCTGCATCATAGAACCGCATCACTATTGCCTTTGCTACCAACGCAGATACGTCAGAAAAGCTCAAGCCATTCTTCATTGTAAAGTCAAATAAGACTCGCTGTTTCAATCGTAAGACAGGAGAGTAACTGTGTTTCTATGATCGCAGCAATAAGAAAGCGTGGAAGACCGGCGCTCTCTTCGAGGAGTGGTTGAAAGGCTGGACAAAGACATGAAGCTACAATATGTAAACGCTTTATATGTATCCTTCACAATTTTAATCATTGTTCTTTTAGGCCAAAGATAGGCGGATCCGTTTTACTAAATAATGCCACTTCTCACAGAGTCGACGACCACGAGGTTAATAGTGTCGAGGTGATCTTCCTCCCTCCAAAACTGCGCGTCTACGATCCGGCTCATGGATGCTGGGATAATCTCCGCGTTCAAGCGATATTACAGACGTTATCATCTTCAAAATGTTGTTGATCGTGACGATTGAGGTGGAACCAACATCTAGGAAACGATCAGCTAAACGCAATGAAATGGAGCAAAGCAGCTTGAGAGGAGATGCAATGGGGTTACACGCACCCTGGTATGAAGAGGTGGACCACACAAGATGATATGACCGTACAACGTTGTGGATTACACAAGTCGGTGTAATCACACGATAGTGTGGCTACACCGTAACAAGAAGTCACTACGTGGCGAGACTGCCAGTAGTTGTGCAAATTAATGAGATTTTACTATTTAATCAGGAAAATCTAAGGTTTAAGATATAGGCGGCCTTGCCGCAACTAAGACAGATAAATACACTTTTTAAATTTGATCGGAAGAGTATTAATGCCTTAGTTAAGGTTTTGGGTACTCTTGGAGGTAGCGGATTGTGATCCGCTACACTCGTACTGGTTCTGAAATAGAACGAAGGTCGGTGAGCTAAATAAGCCTCATCTAAGCAAAGAGCTACGGCAGCCCCACTGCAGGAGATATTAGTACAAATCTTTTCGCCACACTGGTCTCTTTGCAGGGCCTCCTCAAATATCGGTGCCCAATATGGAGGAGCAATACACCTGTGCGACGCTATCCAAAGGCGACCTCTTAGTAATCCCATGGCTATCAAAAAGCTTCTGAATCCAGTGATGGATGAGAACAGAATTGAATGACGATGAGATTATAGCTATGTCCATAAGGCGAAAGAAGGAATACCGATCAAGAATACGAAGATGTGGAATAGCAGATAGTTACGAATCTGGGAAAGCTAAAGAACCTTGCAACTACTGCTTCACTGTTGAATGTGACGAATCCCACAGATAGAGTGGTACTCAGGCGCATTCGAGAACTGCAGAAATTTCTCAGAACGACGGCGACAGTCCAGACTGCCATCAGTTCGTGGCTGGTTTTTAATTTGGTCCGCATGATTGCTTAGCACTTCATTGTCTTCTACATCAACAAAATTCATGTTTGTAAAAAATGTTTACCTAACGTCGTATTATGTCCATATGACAGAAAACTCCGAAGGGAGCGAGTTTGGCAAAGCGCTATATACTCGGGTAGCTCACTATTTTACCAGTTTTGAGTTAGTACTTGGATACATACAAATAAGCTTGGTGGAACAAATTTTTCTAGTTATACGAGGTTATGTGTTACCTGGATATGAGTTATCCGAGGAACGACTATATAATCTCATACGAAACCATAAATTCAATTTTCATCTTGAATAGTAGCTCAGTTTTCTGCTATTTGCTAAAAATATATGTAACAAGCATTAAATCATGTCACAAAAGCTACTAACAGCTTGCGCTTTAAAAAAATATTCGATTGATCGCGTCATTTGCAGATATTCATCAAATGCCAAATATATAATTCAGACCATTAACTATAGTCATATGTATACCGGACTAATCAAGTTTTATAACAGAATTACATTTTGTCCTGTAATTTACACTATTGTTTACCAATGGGATTGCGTCGCTACTTAAAAGTCAGTCGCACTTAGACCATGTCTCATGCTGAGCTGGAGCCGCCGCGCTTTTGGTGCCACGAATGCAGCGTGGCCATGAATGCGCGCGTCGACAGCATCAGTGAAGAATTCTGCTGCGTTCAATGTGGTGGCAACTTTGTGGAGGAGATCGAAGAGGCGCGTCTTCGTTTATCCGTTCTATGATCCATCTTCATGTTCATTTGTCGCTTTTGTCCCACTTTCATAGGACGATCCACCGCAGGAATTTCAAATTGAGCGAAGAGAAGAGTCACAGATAGAGACACAGTCGCCAGAAGCCTCTGCGGAAAATTTGCGAGCCGAAGTTCGCAATGAAATGGAAGACACCCGACCATCGTCACGGTTCGATAAACATTACATAGTTGCTCTAGCCGATTTGAATTTAGCGTTGTGTATAGACAACCGACAGCTGTATCTGGGGCTTTTGCTGCAACAGACAATGGACGAGATGGACCTCCAACTCTGCCTAAGTTAGTATCTTGGGTTTATGTCTATCCATAAATTAGTGATGCAGAATGTTAATTGTTTGGGCAGTTTGCTCCAGCTTATTTCGGGTGCTGCTGGACGGAACACACGTTTCTTAAGCAGCAACGGTAATCCTGTAGAGGTTTATGTGAGTGATATGGAAGACGGAAGAGATCCAATGAGCATTTTAGACGCTTTGGGCGGTATGTTTCCGATGCTGGCCAGTAATCCAGGCGACTATGCGTTTGGCAACATGGCTAACGTGATAAGCCAACTTATGCAAAATGATTCTAATCGGGTAAGACATGTTCCTTTGTTGGTGAATAGGAGCTAATTCGCTGTCAACTATGAAATTTTTCGGCTCAAATCATAGCATGGAGCTCCTCCTGCTTCAAAGGAAGTCGTTGAAAAGCTGCAGAAGGTACAAATCACCCAGCTGGATGTGGACGGCTGTGCTGAGTGTCCCGTTTGCAAAGATTTTTTTGCTGTAAACGAAGAGGTTCACCGTTTACCATGCGAGCACAACTTTCACCCTGACTGTATTTTGCCATGGCTTAAGCAGCACAATTCATGCCCACTTTGCCGCTTTGAATTGCCCACAGATGACCCAGATTATGAAAGAAGACGCGCTGCTTCCTCTACATAAGGCTATCAAACAAACCCTGATTTCCTGAAAGGAAGGTGCAAAAAGCTGTAGGTAGGTTAGTAAATTGCCAAGCGTCGTACCGTTCAAACTGCACGTTTAATACATTGATTCTAGGCTGTAACAATACAACACCTTTTCATATGGTATGTAGCAGGACTTTAAAATGATGGTCAATGTTGCACAAGATTGATCTGCGCGCAGAGAAATGGTCTTCTTTTGCCGCGATTTACGGATATTTGAAAACGAGTGCTCAATCTTTCATGCAGTTATTATTTAATTAATGTATCAAGCCATCAAATTTTTAGTATCAAATTTCCTCGATTGCCGAGATAAAGATGCCATCTAATTGAATAAAACGTGGCAACGTTTTTTGTGGAGTGTACTTAAGCTTCAAAACACCTAAAGCAATGTGACTATCACCTCGCCAACGAAAGTTTAATGTCATCTTATACGATAAACCATTACTCTACCGAGCTAACAAACCGTTATCGACCAAAATAGCTCACATGAGTGAAAATTTCTAGCTGGACACTTGATAGTGCCACATGATTCAGCGTGACGGATAGCCGTTTTTACCGGCGGCCTTAATAATTAAGAATGACACATTTCAAAAATGTTCATTTGATATAAAATGCAATGGTTGCTTAAATTTGACACTCTTCCGGGCCCGCATATCGGTGCAAATTCAGTCAACACTGTACTATACCATCAATTGTAGTGCCACGAGTACTCGACATTTTCAGTCTTTATCGATCCATTATTTAGGGAGGTTGGCTGGATATAGTCCACTGCATGCTGAATCAGCGTGTCATTGCTAAAATTGTTCGATCGTTTGACGGCGAGACGATATCATTGCGCTTCTTGAAGTTGAAGACTCACACCGGCAAAGCTGTGAAGCTAGTCGTTAAACGCTTTCAACAGTATATGAAAACTGGACAGATCAGATTGGGAAACACGTGCTCAGATATACAAGCCATGACTGCATCAGGATCGCTGCATACCCTTTTTAGCAATCATTAAACTCTTTTTAATAGAATGTGATTTCTAGTCTCTCGGCACTCACCTTTTTGATTTGGTATTAAGCATTATTGAAGCCATTCTTGAAACAAATTCTTTATATCGTCATTGTAACAGGGTACGTACAAATACGAACACTGATAGAGTTATTGCCTGTGACACTATTTTTGCCTATATATAACGAAGTACGGTGACAGGAACGGAGTGATTGGAGAACATCCCTGTCATCCTGGATCGTCAAGAAACCTGCATAGCGGCCTCGTCTTCATCAAATGTCCAGAGACAGACATCATATACATTACTTCAGTTCAACTACTATTTCTACACAGGTCATCGGATACACTGTACCGGTAAACGATACACCATTATAACAAGAATAGAACACAAGCAAAAGCTGGTGCTGATATAGATTTATCCCAGCGAAACCAGTGTTGTAGTATCGTGCAGACACTTATTTACGATTGTGCAAAGCACAATTAAATTAAATTCACATTACACTATTGTGTAATTGTGTAAATTACAAATTGGCGAAGCTTCGGTGCGAACCTTGTGCTTTTGGTGCAATGGTAATATTGACAATACAGTACAGCTGTACAAAAAATTACATTACACTTATAATGTATTTGTAAATGTTGATGAGCACCGCTACTCGTTGCCGACTTTTTGTGTTAGAAAGGCTATTGGAAAGAGGCAAATTGTGCATGTATATAATAGGTTAATTAAAAAATGCCGCCACAAATCCGGCACACGCAACGATTCCTCGAGAGATTGTGCTGCTGAACAAAATAGCCGACTGTACTTTTTAGAGCCTATGACTTGGTGAATGGATGGATTCCAATGCTGGCGGTTTCCCCCCTTACTCCGAGAGAAATGCGCTGGAAGTAGCAACAAAGGCTGTCTAGTACACAAGTTACATTCAGTAGTCATGTGAAGCAGCTGTACAGGCCACATTGTGGCTTTCTAACATATAAGTCCATAGTTGTGAAGAGCACGGAGCATCGGATGTAGAAAGACATTAAATACTAGCGAGCAGTGCTTGAGAATATGTATCCAAATACGCTCCTCAACGATAAAATGTTTATTTGGCACCAACAATTTTATTAAGCTACTTCGATGAGAATCATGGTTTGTTTGTTCATCTCCAAATGATGAAGAATGTTTGCGAATCATCAGTGATATGTCACAACGAGAATTTGATCAACCACTTCCACGAGTACAGTATAAATTATGCTGGTAGAGCACGACACCTTACCAATAAACTTAAAAAAGTGTCAAATTGCTCTCTCTTAGTGCTGGTGTTGGGGCGCAGCAGAAGTGGTGGCCTTCAAGTCTGCTCTAGTAATTATCATGTGTTCCGCAATTGTGGCCCTTCCAAATCTAAATCGGCCATTTCACGTCTGTTGTGACGCTTTAGCCTTCGCGATAGATTGCGCTTAACACAAGCATATTTCAAAAGGTATGAACTTGTGATCTCGCTTTTTTCAAGCGGCAGCAAAGAAATACTATGTTCAAGACAGAGATACTTACTGTGAAGTGTGCTCTTGTCAAGTAGAAGATGCACCTGCTTGGCTTGAAACCGTTTGCGATCAAAACAAGTCATGCGTCGTTGAGCACAGCGATGTCGCCACCACATTTCTAGCCTAGAAAGACGAGATGATTATCATTCGCTGCCGAGTATATTTTTGCGCTAAGGTATAAGCAAGATGGGCTAGATTTGTTTGCGGACACACTTTCGTGTCGTTCCGACTGCGAATTTGTCGCAAGACTGTAACTGGTAATGCCCATCCATGTACATACACTTACTGAGAAGACTCAAAAACATGCTTCACCGCGTGTTGCTTACTGTGCTCACTTCAAGCGAGTCATTGATTTGTTTGAAAGATGAGGAAAGGCGAAGTAACATTTATCAAGGCCAATATGCCTTAAACCTCCCATAACTTCTCTTCTTTTTTTTCTTTTCTTCAGAATATGATGTATTGGGACGGAGGGATATACAGCTATACAGGGTCTTAGGTGATGTTAAGCACACAGGAATACAACATGTGTAATGGATCTGGCCAAGCATAAAGACACAATGGCGACGTTGTCAGTTGCTAAGGAGATTCGTTCAAAGAACGGATCAAACGGAATACGTGTTTTACTGCTTAAATTTTTTGAAATCGCTTGGGGGATCAGAACAAAGAGTTCGCAATATTAAGCGTGTAGTTGCACGACTGACCACAATGTCTCATTTCAAGGCTTACTGTTTTTCAGCACCGACCCACATGACATTCTGAAAGTAACTGTGCCTCATGATGAGGACCTTAAGCCCAAAATAATGTACGAGGCACATTGTCCCCCTTTGAATGTCTACCCTGGAAGCGGAAAAAAATAATGCCTTGTGAGACAGTTTTTTATTGACAGTAACAGGTAAAAGTGCGTGAGCACAAATATGCGATAGTATCAGTCCAATCGACGTATTTGAATCTTGCCGCATTAGGCGGCACCTTTATAAAAACATGGCGGTGTAAACCGAGTGCTGGCAGTCCATCAGTATGGACTTATTTGGTGTCTTTCAGAAGTCGGGGTCAATAATGCAGGTATCGAAACCTTTGTAGACCATCTCAGAATGATGACTAATTTTGCTGCTATCCGTGGTAATGTGACTGACGAGGATTCAGCCAAGCTGTTCCTCGTCAATTTTATTGCCAGCATGGCTTACCATTCACCACTGTATCGGATAGAGATCCTCGCTTGATTGCAAATTAATTCAAGAAGCTCGACTTGAGATTGAATATTTTTTCGACTACCCATTTGTAAACAGATGGCGCCAAAAAACTCTTTAAAAGGATCCCCCCGAAACACCTGCGCGTATAAACCGTGTGCTAGAAGGCATTTATCCCACTCATTGAATTCGCGACAAATTGCCTCTGCAGGTCTTACTCGATCGAATTTGACGATCCGGTTGCTTTTTCACCGTCAATAAGTGGCGCCAGGCTTAGAGAGGTAGGGGATATCAGCCCGGCTACACTTCGTTGCAAAATAAGGAAGTTTATTTGAATCAGATCAAGCGTCATGGGCCTGGCTGAGAGCCATGATAAGCTTTAGCAATCCTCCGACGCTGGAAGCGGGCGGACACTATTGATTACGCTGTGGGGAGGTTTTTGTTGATGCGATTAACAAACCTGGCTGCGGCATTTAAAACTTCGTTGCAACTCCGTCAAATCGAACCGCTATTTATCGTATCAAAAGCAAAGCACACCCCTATCACCTAAAGTGAATACAAACACATCACATCCTATGTTCTACGTAAATTACTGAAGCAAAACCACGATCTAACCTTACGAGACGGTTGGCTCGGAAGATACGGTTACAGTCAAAGCACCGTCTCTGACAAACCCTGAAGTTGATATTTGCTATGCTCCAAAGCACTGACGTGCTCTCGAGCCGCTCAGGATGCTCTAAGCGAATAGGTGCGGTGGTAAAGCAGTAAAGCGTAAATTTGAAATCTGGATCATATTAGTCTTGGACGCACGCTATGGTTCTCGAAGAGTAGACGTGCCATCATAACTGAGAGATATCACGAGTGCATGTCACGGGAGTTTTGATTCACGCCGTCAATGCTTGTGAGTAATTTGCGGCTTGCTTTGCGTGTAAACTTTGGTGAGTCTGCGGATTCACCAGGGCTGTTACCAGTACCTGGTAAAGTAAAAGATTGGCCCAATATCTGAAACCGAAGATTAGCATCGTTAGCATTGATCTAGTACCGGGACCGCTTTCGACGTAGCTCGCCCTCCGTCTTTTTCACCCTCAAAGAGGCAGCGCTGCCAGTAGGAGATTGTATTCCGCTAGAGGGTGGCGACAAACTTTGCGAAAAAGAATCCTTCGTCGGCATTAGCTGCAGCTGTCCCATGGAGATTAGCGGGGCTGTACATTACAACAGGATTACGATGTGGTGTCACCTTGATGTCTGCGTCAGGCTTTAAGCTTTTCAAAGTCAAGCA